GTGAGCCCCTCCCTATGTCAGCTGGGCGAACGCCTCCCCCGATGCCGGAGGGGAGGAGAGATGGGGAACCGCGAGGCCCCGGACCAGAGCCCAGGATCACGGGGAACCGCGCGGGTGGCGCGCAGCCCTGAGGAGGAGGCAGCGAGGATGGCAGCCCTACGCGCCAGGGCCATCCGGATCGAGAGGGGAGCGCAAGCGGCCGAGGAGCCCACCCAGGAGGCGGGAGGCCAAGCAAAGGAGGGCGTCACAGCCCGCCTCCTATGAGGCGCGGGCCCGCGCTGGGAGGAGGCGAGGACCAGAACGGCCCGGGCCTAGAGGGCGGTGACGGCATCGACCCGGAGGCTGTGGCGCGCTACCTCAGCGACAGGGGCTCGGGCGGCGCTGGCGCAAGAGCGAGAGGCATCCGTGCGCACCTGAGGCCGTTCGCCCAGCATGGCGGCCGCGGGGCAGCTGACAGCAGGAGGAGCGGGTGCCTGGAGCAGGAGGAGGCGCTAGAGCAGCTGGACAAGCTGGTTAGGACCTGGGGCTACCTCGAACAGAGAGGAGGATGGCTCGATTGGGCCCTGGCGGCACAGATGCCGCAAGAGGCGGAAGAGCGCAAGGCAGGAGCCACCTCCCAGAAGAAGAAGAAGCGCCGGGGCAAGAGCGTGGACCCGGCGCAGCACCAGCCGCCAAACCTGCTCGGGCCGAAGGCCGTCCAGGACAGGGCCAAGCCCAGCGACCTGATCCTCACGGACCCCAAGACACGCGAGGACTGGGAGAAGGCGAAGCTGGATCTCATTCTGGACAAGCTGGCTAGCTCCACCATCAAGTCGTACAGCCTGGGCTGGAGGTGGTGGTCTCTCTTCTGCCGCGCCGTGCGCGTGGCATCAGCCCACTGTGCGGGAGGTCACGCTCACGAGCAAGAGGGAGGAGGATCTGCTGCTGGAGTTGATCGTTCACCTGTCCAGGCGCGGGTGCAGGAAGGCGGGCACCACTAAGCAGTACCTGAGCACGGTCCGCGCCCAGCACCTGGCCCTCGGCATGGGCGACCTGACGGCGGGGGCAGGAAGGCTCTGGATGGCGATCGATGGCCTCAGGAGGCGAGATGGGGACGCCAAGCGGAAGAAGCCGGTCACCCCCAGGATGATGCGGTGGATTCGAAAGAAGCTGCAAGCGGAGAGGTCTCGCGAAGGCGCGGCTCTCTTTGGGCGGCGGTGGCAACGGGCTACTTCTTCCTGTTGAGGGCTAGCGATTACGTGTCTGGGGATCAGAACGGCTACACGAGCGGCAAGTATCTGCGGGGTGTTGACGTCACCCCGAAGGCAGCGGGCGATCCGTGCAGGAATTGGCCCGAGGCGAACGAGGTCGTCATCAAGAGCAGGGCCAGTAATGCCGACCAGTACAATCGCGGGGAACGGCGTAAGCCCTTCAGGGTGGAGGTGACCGCGGAGTCAATGGAGAAGGGGCACATCTGCGTCGTGGAGGCGAAGACGATATACGAGGGCTGGGCACGCGAGAGGCTCTCAGGGACTAGGATGTACGACCCGCTCTTCGCCTCCTCCGTCCTCGTCCTCGTCCTCCTCCTCCTCCTCCTCCTCCTCCTCCTCTTCCTCCCTCCTCCCCCTTCTCTCTCCTCTTCCTCCGTCGTCTCCTCCTCCTCCTCCTCCTCCTCTTCCTCCTCATCCTCATCCTCATCCTCATCCTCATCCTCATGCTCATGATGATGATGATCATCATCATCACCATCATCATCATCATCACCACCATCATCATCATCATCGTCATCATCCTCCTCCTCATCATCATCATCATCACCACCACCACCACCACCACCACCATCATCATCATCATCATCATCATCATCATCATCATCATCATCGTCATCATCATCATCGTCATCATCATCATCATCCGTCTCCTCCTCATCATCATCATCACCACCACCACCACCACCTCCATCACCACCACCACCACCAAGGTCATCATCATCATCATCATCGTCATCATCAACATCATCATCATGATCATCATCATCATGATCATCATCATCATCATCATCATCATCATCATCATCATCATCCTGGTCCTCCTCCTCCTCCTCCTCCTCCTCCTCCTCCTCCCCCTTCTCTCTCATCCTCATCCGTCGTCTCCTCCTCCTTCTCCTCCTCATCATCATCCTCATCCTCATCCTCCTCCTCATGCTCATGATGATGATGATGATGATGATCATCATCATCATCAGCATCATCATCATCATTACCATCATCATCATCATCATCATCATCATCGTCATCATCATCACCACCACCACCATCATCATCATCATCATCATCATCGTCGTCATCACATCCTCCGTCTCCTCCTCCTCATCATCATGCGCGTCTCCTCACCACCACCACTCATCATCATCATCATCATCGTCGTCGTCCGTCGTCGTCATCATCATCATCATCATCATCATCTCATCATCACATCATCATCTCATCATCCATATCAATCATCATCATCATCATCATCCTCATCATCATCATCATCATCATCATCATCTCCCATCATCATCATCATCATCTCATGCATCCATCATCATCAGCATCATCATCATCATCATCTCATCATCCTCATCATCATCATCATCATCATCATCATCATCATCATCATCATCAGCATCATCATCATCATCATCATCTCATCACATCATCACCATCACCATCATCGTCATCATCAACGATCATCCTCAGTATCATCATCATCATCATCATATCATCATTCGTCATCATCATCATCGTCACCATCATCATCATCATCATCATCATCCGTCTCCTCATCATCCCACCACCACACCATCACCACCACCACCACACATCATCATCATCATCATCATCATCATCATCATCATCATCATCATCATCCTCATCCTCATCCTCATCCTCATCCTCATCCTCATCCTCCTCATCATCATCGTGATCATCATCATCATCATCATCATCATCATCATCATCATCATCATCATCATCATCATCATCCTGGTCCTCCTCCTCCTCCTCCTTCTCCTCCTTCTCCTCCTCCCTCCTCCCTCCTCCCTCCTGCCTCCTGCCTCCTTCCTCCTTGGCGCCGAGCCGTGGCGCCGAACCGTGGCTAGGGTCGGACGACACGAGGGTAGCAGAGGGGGGTTAGCGAAGCAGCTCACGAAGCCGTAGCTGGGTGTCCTGCCGCCTCCCCGCGCCAGAGGCGCCAATCGATCGAGTAGAGCGCCTGGTGACGGGGCCCAAACGAGCTCCATACAACAGACTTCGTAACGCCCCCTGTCCCGTCTGTCGATCCTCCAACACTTAGGGGCAGGAAAACTGTATGGTGACGGACCGCGCAGTGACCTCGGAGCCCCCAACGACCTCACCGCGCAGTCCGTCCCTCCCCGGTTTTGGGGCCTCGGAGGCCCCAGTCGCCCGAGGCGTCTTCGTAGAACGATCCGAGTCACGAAACCGTGCGGTGGCCCCGAATCCTCACTGACTCACCACGCGGCGTGGTCACTGCACTGCATCCCGGCCCTTCGGGCCGATCCCGGCACCCGCGGAGCGCCCTCGGCGAGGCGCAGCCGCTGGAGTGCACCCCGGGGCTGCAGAACCGCGGAGAACCCCAGAAAGAAACCGCTCGAAGCCGTGTGCCCCTTAGGGGTCACCGAGCTTTGCGCATCGCACCCCGCGATGCCCGATTAGATTCGCGCTCTCGCGCCCAGGCGCCGCCCCTCCAGAGCAGGGCAGCCGGTCTGACCCAGCCTGCGACGCGCGAAGCGCGGTCAGCTTCGCGCCCCTGGGGGTGGCCCAGCTGTTCCCCGTTCCCAGGCGGTGCGATGTGGTCACTCCGCCGCCTGGGGGCCCCCGTCGGGGGCGGCGAGCGGTGAGGGCTTCGGCCTTCGGGGGCCCCCCGAAGGCCGAAAGCCCTCACCGCCCGGGCCGATCCGCGGGCCTCTCTGTGCGCGCACGCGCCGAGGCGGCGCGGGTTGCCGCCAGCGAGCGGGCTGCGCGTCAGGGAGGCGCGTGGGCGCCGGCCGCCAGCCACGCTGCGCTGCCGGCGCCGGGCGCGACTCGAAGTCGGGGCGCCGCGGAGGGAGGGGGTTCGAGGGTGCAGGTCCGAGGGCGAGGAGGTCCGAGGGCGAGGAGGTCCAGGAGCGAGGGAGCGAGGAGCGAGGGTGCAGGTCCGAGGGCGAGGAGGTCCGAGGAGAGCGGGCGCGGAGGTTCGAGGACCTGGGTCATCGGGCTCCGCGCCTCGCGACCCGCGACGGGCGGCTGTCTTCGCGCCCTCGCGCCCTCGCACCGCCTCCCTGGAGAGGGGCAGCTCTCCAACCCAAGCCGCGCTGCGCGAGGGGCGATTCTCGCCGCGCCCCCGGGGGGTGGCCTGGAGGAGCGGGGATCGAGGGTCGAGGAGCGCGCTTCGAGGCTCGATGATCGAGAAGCGCGGGAGGCGCCAGGGTTCGAGACACGGGTCTACCTAAACGGTGTTTTGGCGATTTCGTGAGCCGTTTTCGTTTCGACTTCGAATTTCAGCAAAGGCGGATTGAAGACAAAACGAGGGATAACGATAACAACACGAAAGCGAAAAACACTGTTTGGGTCGAGTCCCAGTTCGAGAATCGAGAATCTGGGCGTGAGGGCGTGGGAGCGCTGGCGCGCCCTTCGGAATCGGGGGGGGGCGGGTCCGTCGGAGAGTCGGAGCGTCTCGGGTCGACGACCGAGACTTCTGAACGTTCTGTCGCACTTCGTTGGGGAGGGCTGAACTAAGACGAAGCCAGGACGAGGATCGAATCGGGTGAGGATGCACCGAGAATCTCTGAGATCCAGCGGCTCTGGAGAGTGTATCGGGCGCCGCGGCCTTCTCAGAGCGTTCCGGAACGCTCTGAGAGTGTCCCGGCAGGCTCTGGGACAGATTTGGCCCCGTCCGAAGGGGGGGGGACGAGGGGCAGGAGCAGGAGGGAGGACAGGGAAGAGGAGCATGAGCGTGCGGGGGAGGAGCGGCAAGGCCGCTCAGGTCAGCGTCCGGACCACCTGCGCAAAGTTGTAGAGGTTTCGGGTGAAGTGGTCCTCTCAAGGCGAATAAACGATCAAGACGACGAGTGGGAGGACTAGAAGGGGACGAGGTGGAGGAGGGCGAGGAGAGGAGGAGGAGAAAGAGGAGGAGGAGGTGGAGGGGGAGAAGGAGGAGAAGGAGGAAGATGAGGTGGAGGAGGAGGTTCACTGCCCATAGAGGGAAGTCCAGGGGGAGAGAGGAAAATTAGGGTGGGGTCGCCCATCCGAGGGGATCTTTGTCAGGCCCACGGTGAGGTGGGGGGAGGAAAAGGACGAGGAGGAGGAGGAGGTGGAAGGCGAGGAGTTGGAGGAGGAGAGGAGGAGGTGGAAGGGCTCCCCCTCCTCCCTTACCTCCCCGTGACTCCTGGCCCATCCTTTCTTTTCCTGCTACCCCCCCTCCTCTCCTCCCACTCGTCCTACCCCTGGTCATCCTCATGCCTGGCCCATGCCTCATGCTTAGATTCATACTTTTTCTCCTCCGTCTCTCCCTCTCCTCTCCTCGTCTCGTGATCCCTTCCTCATGATGATCCCTGTACCTTTTGTTCCTCTTCTTGCTAGTAAGGATGTCATTATTAGCCCGACTTGCCTTCGTAGATCTCCTCCCCATCCTCGTGCCTTCGCCTCCTCCTGTTCCTCGCCCTGTCCTCCTCTTATATTTTCCTCTTTGTCATATTCTCCTTCTCCTTCTCCTCCTCCTCCTCGTCGTCGCCGTCATCCTCCTCTTGAATCCTCCTGCTGCTCCTTCTCCTCCTCTCTCATGCCTGCTCTTGGCATGGCGCTGTTCGATTGTGCGCGTCTTCTTCCCGCCCAGACTTCGCCCGGCGCTCCCTGCGCGCTGCCTGGCCAAGCACTGCACAGGCAGCTTCGGGATCGAAGCCCGAATCGACGCCTGGCTCGGCGAATATTGAGGCCCAGCGTAGTGGGAGCTGCTGGATGGGAGGGGCATCGTATCACACGTACCGCGAATACACCTAGCTTGCATCTCTCTTCTCTCCCCTCCCCCCTCGCCGCTCATCGGCTCTTTCCTCGCCTCCCCTCAACTCCCCCCTCCTCTCCTCCGAATATTACACTCCTCTCCTCCGAAGATGGCCGGGGAGTAACCCGCCCGCTCTGCGTACGATTTTTCACATACGCACACACAACACACACGCACACACAACACAAGCACACACACAAACACACACACACGGACACACACAGACACACAGACACACCGACACACACACACATACACACAAACACACACACACACTTTTCGGTCGCCACGGGCGGGAGCACGTCCTCACCGTCCAGCCCGCGCGCGGCGAACCGCGCGAAAGCCCACTAACAGAAGAGAAGAGGAAAACAAAGAGCCGACCGGCCCCTCACGGGGCGATGGCCAGGAGCGGCGCACGGGTGCTGGGGCAGCGGGCAGCAGCCGGGGCCGCAGCAGGCGTAGCGGGGCGGCGGCCGCAACGCGGGCGCCGGGCACCGGGGAGCGCGGCGGGTAAGGGCGCGGGCAGCGGCGGGCCGCCGGTTAACGGCAGAGGGGAAGTGGAGGACCACCGAGCTGGAGGCAGAACAAAAAACCAAACCGCACCAAAGTTACCAGGCGAGGCGGCGGCCAGGCGGCCAAGCAGCGGGCGGCCACGCCAGAATGAGGCGGGCAAGCGTCGCCCCAAGGCAGCGGGGCGGAGGGGCGGCAGCGGAACGCCGAAACTGGCGGACCAGGCCAGGGGGCGGGGCGGGGCGGGGCGAAGGCATTCGCAACTCGCCATCGTTCGGACGTCCATTCCCCATACATTTGTTGATACCGTGCGTGGTTCTTTGTCTGAAAAATGGTCCAATATATTCCTCGATGCTCAAAAATGCACACGTCCGAGCGATGCCAAGGCAGGGGCCAGATGACATGGGCGCGCGGGCGGAGGCGAGGCGATCGCCGCCGAGGGTCATCCCAGGCGATCGAACCAAGCCAACGAGTTTCGGGGCGGCCGAGGCGGCCCTGCGCTCCAGCCTGCAACGGCATGTAACGACGAGCGGCGTAGCAGGCGGTCAGGTCCGCGCCCGCAAAGCCGCGGAGGCTGGGGCGAGGTGATCACTCTGACACATTTTAACCGTCGCAACGCGACGGAAACCATCCGAGCGCGCGCTCTAATGAGCCAGGCTGTGGCAGACACTAATTGTCCGGCGGCAAAGAGGGGGAGAACGAGGCGGGGCGCGGCCGCGGAAGGCGAAAAATGGGCGAGGGCACTCACCCTGACACACACGCACACGCACGCACGCACACGCACACGCACACGCACACGCACGCACGCACGCACGCACACACACACACACACGGTTGATGTGATATGTATGATGTAGAACGTTAGGCAATACAAGAATAGCAGCGTAAAACAAGCAATCGTCCCAGGCCCCGTTTTTCAAGACCTTGTGCAGACTTTTACTATGAAAAACTGTTTGGTGCTGTATGCTGCTTTCCGCTCCTCCCCGCTTGCCCGTCGATGAAAACGGAGGTGTGTTTCTCAAGACCTCTTCGAAGGACGTCCGAACGAGCCCATGCATGTGCGACCGTAGCATTAAGCGCCTCTGGGCCTTACACACACACACACACACACACACACACGCACGCAAGCACGCACGCACGCACACACACACACACACACACGCACGCACACACATTCACACACACACATTCACACACATCACACACACACACACACACACACTCACACACACACACACACACACACACGCACACACACACACACACGCACACGCGCACGCGCACACGCACACACACACACACGCACACACACACACTTTTAGCGTCGGCGGCTGGGCAAAGGGCGGCTGCTCCGGCGGAAAGGCGACACACACACAACACGCACGCCCCACCCCCAAACCACACACAACACAACACAACACGACACAACATAACACAACACAACACAACACAACACAACACAACACAACACAACACAACACAACACAACACAACACAACACAACACAACACAACACAACACAACACAACACAACACAGACAGACAGACAGACAGACAGACAGACAGACAGACAGACAGACAAACAGACATACAGACAGACAGACAGGCAGGCAGGCAGGCAGGCAGGCAGACAGACAGACGGACAGACAGACAGACTACTCTCTCTCGGGCTCCCACGTCGCTGGGGCGCACCCCAGCCACGCCTCCAAAACGCGCCCCAGCCGGGCCTGGGGGGCGAGGGCCACGACGCGGAACACAGCGAGTCTCGTGTGGCGAAACGGCCCAACTGCAACTGGGCCCCCAGATGGATTGCACCGGTGCGATCGCGGGGGCTTCAGAAAACTGCAAGCGCCTGGTCGCGAGTCGCAGACCACGAGCCAGGCACGCCAGGGGAGCGAGAGAGAGGGAGAGGGAGAGGGAGAAGAAGAATAAGAAGAAGACGAAGAATAAGACAAATAAGAAGACGAAGAAGAAGAAGAAGAAGAAGAAGAAGAATAATAATAAGAAGAAGAAGAAGAAGAGCAGCACCTAGCGAAGGCTGCAATCCTGGGGCTGCTACCCAGGGTTTCGCCGTTCACCCAAACCTCCACGGCCCCAGGACCCCGTGCTTTTCGCAGACTCTTCATGGGTCTAGCACGAACCATTCTGGCCAAGCGGCGCAGGGGAGGAGGGGGGGAGGAAGCGGATGGGGAGGAGCAGGTGCCCCCACTACTTCAGGCCGGCTGCTTCGCGGAGCTGCTGAGCCATGAAGCCGTGCAGCCCCGCGCTCAAAACCTCATAGGCCCGCGCCAGCTCGCGCTGCTCCTGGTCGCTGGGCAGCTGGCAAACCTGCTCCAACAGCCAAAGCCGCGCCTCGGCCCCGATCCTGCAGCCGGTCTCCAGGACGAACGGCGTCAGCTGCGAGCCCGGGCAGCGCGCGTGCTTGTCGCGCTCGCCCTGGCGCCCTGCTTCACCGTCGCGCCCTGCGGCCACCCTCGGCTTGGCGGCCGTTCCCGCCGCGGGGTGGCGGACGGTGACGTCCAGCCACCTGCGGCCTCTGTCATCCTGGCACTAATGTCCAAGATCGCGCGTTCGAGGCGCCCTCCGCGGAAGCGGTCCCACGATGGGACTCTCTGCTCGAAAAGCGGCCTCTCGCCCCACCAGCGAGCGAGCAGCCCCCCCAGCCGCCGCGCGAGGTGGCCGTGGCGAGCCACGACCCCGCCTCCGAGCTGGCAGGCGAGCGCGCGGTTGTCCTGGCGGGCGAGTGTCCCGCCGCAGCTAGCTCCGCTCGCCGCGCGCAAGCAGCAGGCCGGCTCCGCCGCAGCCCCTGCCAGCTCTTGCTGCGAGAGCTCCGCTCTGGGAAGCTGCAGCCGCTGCCGCGTCGCCGCCTCCCAATGCGCGTCCTCCAGGACGCAGAGGTCGTCGTCTGGGCGCGCCAAGCAGCTGGCGCTTCCAGGCCCCGCGGCGCCTCGCAGCGCGGCCTGCTGCGGAAAGAGCAAGCACTCCAGCAGGGCTGCGCCCCGTGTCTTTTGCACCTTTTTGGTGGCGAGGCCTTGCCGCAATGGCGCGCCGAACGCCGTTGCCGAGTCTCCTCCAGCCGCCAGGCCCAGCCCTTGGGCTCGAAGCCCCTGGCGGGCGCTCTCCAGCTGCCCCGCGGCGCGAGGTAGCTTCTCCAGGCAGTCAGCCAGCGTGCCGCAGCCGAGGTCCTGGGCCACCTCTGCGACGGCGGCCGCCCAGGAATGTCTCCGCGCGGATGCGAGCTGGGCCCCGACGCCCCTCTCTCTGGCGGGCAGCGCCAGCAGCGACAGCAGTTCTCCCCCAGGTCGCGCCGTAGCAGCGCCTACCAGCTGGCCGCCAACTGCTGGTCGTAGCGCGCCGTGGCTGCGTCTGGTGCCTTCTCCATCCTGAGGGAGTACTGGCCCTGCGCAGGCCCGCAGCAGCGCGCTGGCCGTGTGTTTGCTGAGCCCGGCCTTGTTAAGTTTTCAGCAGCTCGTCTGTGAAATCCTTCAGCAGGCGCCCCGCTCCCCCGAGGCTGTCTGCTGGCTCCCCCAGGCTGGCCAGCGCGCTAGCGTCCGCGTCTCCAGGCGGGCGCAGGTGCATCCCGAGCACAGGCAGGCAGGGTGTCCAGCATCTCTGTTAGGTTACTCGTCAGAGCCATTCAGCCTGCGGGGGGCCAAGCTGATGTCTTGCGCTGGTCAAGCCGCAGCCCTAAAAGGGCCGATGACTCGCTCTATGGCCAGCAGCGCGAGTTCGGCCAGTTGCGCACTGACAACCAGGTAGCAGTCGTCGAGGTAGCAGTGCAGCTTCGCCTCTGGATCCAAGCGCAGGAGCTCGAGCATGAACCCGTCCAGCGCTCCCTCTGTGCCACTGCAAAGCCAGCAGGCGGGAGCGGGTCTCCCTGGTCGAAACCCCGCGCGTTGTCGATAGGGTGGGACTTCCCCGAGGAGTCTCTCCAAAGGTGCTGCGCCGAGCCTCCGTACCATGCCCGGAGGGCAGAGGCCACCTCCGCCTCGTGCGCGGACATCGCCGCGTCGGCTGGCTCTCTCTCCAATGACGGGAAGGCGGCCTCGAAACCCAGCTTGAGGAAAACCGCTGTCCGCCTGGTCTCGGCTTGGCCCTCTAGCTTCCGCAGCAGCAGCTCTGCTCCGCCAGCGCGCGGAGGCCGAGACGCCGCACAGAGGCGCTAACTAGGAGCGGCCTCACCCCGTCGTCGCCTTCGCGGTGCGCTGTGACTTCGCAAGTGCGCAGAGCCTGCAAGACGTCGTCAGGCAACAACCCGAAGGCGACCCAGGCGATGGCTTCTGACAGCCACCCCAGAGCTTCCCCACGAGAGTCTACGGCCGCCAGGTGCTCAAGCCGGCAGCCTAGAAGCCCTGGCGCTGTTAGCTTTGGTCGCCGCTGGAGCAGTTTCTGTCTCCGCCTTTGCTTTTTCGAACACCCCTGGGCTTGGAGCTGTCCTGGGCGCTGTCTGCAGCACTGCGGAGGCGGGGGGGGGAGCACGCACGCACCTTTCCTAAGGTTTCCAGGGTCCTTGGCGCGAGCTTGGTGCCAGTGACTGTGCATCGCGGTTTCCCCTCCTCTCCGGCTGCAGCGAGGGTGTGGACTCTGGCATGGCGGCCTTTTGTTTGTCCGTTTGCTTGGCCGCAGCCGTGGGCAATTTCTGACCATGCCAGACGGACGTCCGGAGCGCCGTCCACTGGCCGCCCCAGAACCAGGCCAAACAGACAGACAGACAGACAGACAGACAGACAGACAGACAGACAGACAGACAGACAGACAGACAGACAGACAGACAGACAGACAGACAGACAGACAGACAGACAGACATACAAACACAGATACGCAGACACACCAGCACGCACACACACAATATGGATTTCAGGATTTAGTATTTCCTACTTGTTGTTTGATCGGAACGTTTCCGGTGTCTCAGAATGGTGCTGACGCTGCCGCGTGGGCCTCGTTTGAGGATCATCGTTCAAAATGGCGCTCTCGCCCTAGCGCGGGCCACTTTTTGGCATCCGAGTTCTTCTTCCGCGTCGTCGTCCCCCTCCTTTCCCTCCTCCGCCTTCCCCTGGTCCTCCTGCTCCTCCCGCTCCTTCCGCTCCAGTTCCCACTTCTGCTGTTCGTCCTCAAACCTCATCCTTCTTCCTCCTCCTCCACCTCCTTTTCTTCCTGCTCCTCCTCCTCCTCCTACCTCCGCCTCCTCCTCCTCATCCTCATCTGTGAGTCGTTCCCCCTTGTACGACTGCGCCTAACACGATGGGGTCTTTGGGGGAGTTCCAGGTCCGCTATGACACGCGTCCGCGGATGGAAAAATAATCAGCGCAATGGGAAGGGATGTGGGAGGGGGAAGATGTCAAACATGGCGCGAGCGCACCTAGCTTGTCCTGTCCCTATATCCTCTCCTCTCTCGTCCTCTCTCGATTCCGCCATCAAGTCCCTGTTTTTGTTTGTTCTCCCTCTCTCTCTCTCTCTCTCTCTCCCCCCATCCATCTCTCTCTCTCTCTGCTTGGTATTGCGATCTCTCTTTGCCTATACATTCATTTAACCGTTCTCTCTCTTTCTGCCTTCCGCTCTCTCTCTCTCTCTCTCTTTCTCTCCTCCTCTCTCTCTTCCTCCCACTAAGCCCCTCTCCCTCTCAATGTATACATGTATGTGTAGACATATATATATATACACACAGATCTTTCTCTCTCTCTCTCTCTCTCTCTCTCTCTTCGTGTTTCTCTCTCTCTCTCTATCTCTCTCGCTCTGCTGTCCTTTCGCCTCCCAAGTCCTTCCCCAACCCAGCTCCAACAGCCCTCCCATCTCCCCATTCCTTTCTCCCGTCTCCCTCTCTCCGTTCTTCCCGTCCCACACCTATCTTCTCCCTCGCCCCTCCTTCCTACTCCAACCCGTCCTCTGGGTCCTGTCTCTCTCCCTGCATCAATCCCTCTCTCCCGGCTGACTGAACGTACAGTGTCGGCGGCTTCGGGACATGCTGATGCTCC